TATATTGTTTACTCTCGTGAAACTCGTAGTGTCATCTGCAAAGGATGATACGGTACTATAGTTTGTATCCTTGTCTATATCTGATATGAGGAGGAGAAAAAATACTGGAGTATGCACAGTCCCCTTTGGGATTGAGCTTTCATTGATGGATGATCCGGATTTTAATTTGTTACACACGGTTCTGTTTGTTAGGAAATTTTAAGATCCGTCTCCCTAACTAATATCTCAATAGAGTAAATTTAAAAAATTAGCCATGCAAGAAATAAGGAAAGAAAATATTGCCAGAGAATTGAAGTTGAATCCTAAAAGTATTTTTCTAACTATAAAATGAAGGTAGTGGACAGTAGAGGACCGCTGTAAACAATAGCTGGCCAAATAGTATATGGTGGTGGAGGAGGAGGAGGAAATAAGCAATATACTCTGCTAATATTATATTATTATATTATAATATAATGCAAATCTAACATTTCCATTGTATTATAATAATAATATATTGGAAATGTTTCAATTTTCACACAGGAAAATCTAAAAAATTTGTCCAGTATAGCGGGAATCTATCAAGAAGGTTCAAATAGATTGTGGAACATTACAAGGAGGAGGTAAACAGGTCGAGAGGCTTAAACCTTACAGATCTCTTGTCTTAATGAGGTATTTTGAAAAGTCTTAAAAGAATGCAAAGAGAAGCTGAGTGAGCCACTTACGAGTATTTTTAATAAATGAATCAGAACTGGTGTTGTCCCTACTGCCCGAAAGCTCGTTAATGTGATCACAATATTCAGGAAGAGGGATGAAGCTCGTGCTGCGTGCGACCTACCGATAAACAACTTTGTTTATCGATAAATGTATAAGTTATCACTCAGAATGTTCGGTAATATGCTTATTGTTTCTGTATATATATATATATATATATATATATATATATATATATATATATATATATATATATATATATATATATATGTCGTACCTAGTAGCCAGAACGCACTTCTCAGCCTACTATGCATGGCCCGATTTGCCTAATAAGCCAAGTTTTCTTGAAGTAATATATTTTCTCTATTTTTTTCCTATGAAATGATAAAGCTACTCATTTCATTCTATATGAGGTCAATTTTTTTTATTGGAGTTAAAATTAACGTTGATATATGACCGAACCTAACCAACCCTACCTAACCTAACCTAACCTATCTTTATAGGTTAGGTTAATTTAGGTAGCCGAAAAAGTTAGGTTAGGTAAGGTTAGGTAGGTTAGGTAGTCGAAAAACAAATAATTCATGAAAACTTGGCTTATTAGGCAAATCGGGCCTTGTATAGTAGGCTGAGAAGTGCGTTCTGGCTACTAGGTACGACATATATATATATATATATATATATATATATATATATATATATATATATATATATATATATATGTCGTACCTAATAGCCAGAACGCACTTCTCAGCCTACTATTCAAGGCCCGATTTGCCTAATAAGCCAAGTTTTCATGAATTAATGTTTTTTCGTCTACCTAACCTACCTAACCTAACCTAACCTAGTTTTTTTTGGCTACCTAACCTAACCTTACCTATAAATATAGGTTAGGTTAGGTTAGGTAGGGTTGGTTAGGTTCGGTCATATATCTACGTTAATTTTAACTCCAATAAAAAAAATTGACCTCATACATAGAGAAAAGGGTTGCTTTATCATTTCATAAGAAAAAAATTATAGTAAATATATTAATTCAGGAAAACTTGGCTTATTAGGCAAATCGGGCCTTGAATAGTAGGCTGAGAAGTGAGTTCTGGCTACTAGGTACGACATATATATATATATATATATATATATATATATATATATATATATATATATATATATATATATATATATATAATGTCGTACCTAGTAGCCAGAATGCACTTCTCAGCCTACTATGCAAGGCCCGATTTGCCTAATAAGCCATGTTTTCCTGAATTAATATATTTTCTCTAATTTTTTTCTTATGAAATGATAAAGCTACCCATTTCATTATGTATGAGGTCAATTTTTTTTATTGGAGTTAAAATTAACGTAGATATATGACCGAACCTAACCAACCCTACCTAACCTAACCTAACCTATCTTTATAGGTTAGGTTAGGTTAGGTAGCCGAAAAAGTTAGGTTAGGTTAGGTTAGGTAGGTTAGGTAGTCGAAAAACAATTAATTCATGAAAACTTGGCTTATTAGGCAAATCGGGCCTTGCATAGTAGGCTCAGAAGTACGTTCTGGCTACTAGGTACGACATATATATATATATATATATATATATATATATATATATATATATATATATATATATATATATGTCGTACCTAATAGCCAGAACGCACTTCTCAGCCTACTATTCAAGGCCCGATTTGCCTAATAAGCCAAGTTTTCATGAATTAATGTTTTTTCGTCTACCTAACCTACCTAACCTAACCTAACCTAGCTTTTTTTGGCTACCTAACCTAACCTTACCTATAAATATAGGTTAGGTTAGGTTAGGTAGGGTTGGTTAGGTTCGGTCATATATCTACGTTAATTTTAACTCCAATAAAAAAAAATTGACCTCATACATAGAGAAAAGGGTTGCTTTATCATTTCATAAGAAAAAAATTATAGTAAATATATTAATTCAGGAAAACTTGGCTTATTAGGCAAATCGGGCCTTGAATAGTAGGTTGAGAAGTGAGTTCTGGCTACTAGGTACGACATATATATATATATATATATATATATATATATATATATATATATATATATAAATATATATATATATATATATTTCAAATAAAGTTAGATAAATATACACACATACCAAAAGAATAGGGGTGGTAGGAGAAGAAAATATCAAAGTGTTCAATGAGGATCCACAAGGTCTTCTCTGAGTACTCTTTATTTTCTTCTCCGAGGCTATGGGTCCCTACACTTGCACCAGAGGTGGTACTCCTACATACATATATATATATATATATATATATATATATATATATATATATATATATATATATATATATATATATATATATATATATATATATATATATATATATGTCGTACCTAGTAGCCAGAACGCACTTCTCAGCCTACTATGCAAGGCCCGATTTGCCTAATAAGCCAAGTTTTCATGAATTAATATATTTTCTCAATTTTTTTCTTATGAAATGATAAAGCTACCCATTTCATTATGTATGAGGTCAATTTTTTTTTATTGGAGTTAAAATTAACGTAGATATATGACCGAACCTAACCAACCCTACCTAACCTAACCTAACCTATCTTTATAGGTTAGGTTAGGTTAAGTTAGGTAGCCGAAAAAGTTATGTTAGGTTAGGTTAGGTAGGTTAGGTAGTCGAAAAACAATTAATTCATGAAAACTTGGCTTATTAGGCAAATCGGGCCTTGCATAGTAGGCTGACAAGTGCGTTCTGGCTACTAGGTACGACATAATATATATATATATATATATATTATATATATATATATATATATATATATATATATATAATATATATTATATATATATATATATATATATATATATATATATATATATATATATATATATATATATATATATATATATATATATATATATATATATATATATATATATATATATATATATATATATATATATATATATATATATATATATATATATATATATATGAACACGTTGTACTGAACGGGGTGAGAATAGCTGAAGCTACTTCATCCCCCTTGTGTGTATTAATACCTCAACAAACTTACTTCAATTTCAGCTTTGACATAGATCAGGGGAAAGTTCGTCAAAGCAAATATGTTTAAAAGAAACTTCCGACCCGAGTGTGCAAAACTGGTCGCACCGGTTTCACCAATTCATTATCGTTGAAACAGTTTGGCTCGAGGTATGTATGACCACTAGCGTGCCGCAGGGCTCTGTACTAAGCCCCTCCCCCCCCCCCCCCTCCTGCTTTTTATAATAGACATGAACGGCCTTTCATTTGAAGTGACCCGTAATTACGTCGTAGACTACACGGAGACAGCGCGTGTAGTGATTACAAGAGACTCGCGAACTGAAAGGAGACTCGCAAATTTCAGTGAAAAAGAGCCAATGTGGATTACTATTGTTATCAACATTAATCTGCATTTGCTTAATTCAAATTCCTGAACTTAGTGAAAGACGGCGAGACTAAATTCCATATCAGTAACAGTCATTAGAAGATCAAACTGCCAGAGGTACTTGGGAGTGCTGAGAAGCAGTGATATGAGGCCAAGAGAAGAAGGGATCAACATCAAGGGATCATTATTAGAAGGGATCAAGAAAGTCATGATAAGTAGATCATCGATGCATAAAATTATCAATCAGTGTCTTGGAAATTATAATAAGAAACAGAAGGCAACAGAACTACGGATATCATCCTTCAGCAGTCTCTAGCTCTTGGGCTCCGCTTTGCCGATCTAGTCGCTGTACTACATAATGTACATAGACGCTGTAGTTAGATGGATAATGACTGATTGTAGGTCGAAACACAGGCCAAAAAGAACAAATTAAAAATATTTTTAATAACTTTATTACAGATTTACAAATAAATATTACAGTACATGGAATAAATATACTTAAATATTTACAATAAATAATAGATAAAAACAGCCGCGGTGTGAGCAGCGGCGCCTGCAGGCAGTGTGAAGGCTAGAAGGCTACTAGGCCTACAGGTGGTGTGAAGTCTACCTTATGGGCCTGAGGGCAGTGTAAAGGCTGCCTGCTAGGCCTGCAGGTGTAAAGGCTGCCTGCTAGGCCTGCAGGTGTAAAGGCTGCCTGCTAGGCCTGCAGGTGTGCAGGCTGCCTGCTAGGCCTGCAGGTGTGCAGGCTGCCTGCTAGGCCTGTAGGTGTGCAGGCTGCCTGCTAGGCCTGTAGGTGTGCAGGCTGCCTGCTAGGCCTGCAGGTATACAGGCTGCCTGCTAGGCCTGCAGGTGTGCAGGCTGCCTGCTAGGCCTGCAGGTGTGCAGGCTGCCTGCAGGTGTGCAGGCTGCCTGCTAGGCCTGCAGGTGTGCAGGCTGCCTGCTAGGCCTGCAGGTGTGCAGGCTGCCTGCTAGGCCTGCAGGTGTGCAGGCTGCCTGCTAGGCCTGCAGGTGTGCAGGCTGCCTGCTAGGCCTGCAGGTGGTATGAAGGTTACTCTTACCATCAAAACAAGTCAGAAAATAATAACACACATACGAGTACTACTTACTAATGCTCCATAAAAAATGCCATTTATATCATACCACAAACTATGCTCACAGACACACTGGCACATCTCTCTCAGATCTCAGCCAGATGCACAGAACGAGTCGGGTGGAGGCTAGAGAGTGTGCAGGGTGTTAAGGAAGGTGGTGGGGATCACAGAGCTAACTGTACACTATGTGAGTCTATCATATATCTACTGGCGAGGGAAAATCATCATTCCTCGTTGGCTTGTCATAATATACACTCAAGTGATGAGTTCATGAGGTGCTGAGTTTGAATATTAATGTGCTAAAACAGGTCATAAATAATATGGAACAAGACCAGCTAATTCCAGGGATTAATAGCTTTGTTAACTTATATAACAAGAGAATAATATTAAAGAACCCCATGGGAAACTGGAGCGAGCATGCGAGTCTGGGAGCGACTGGCAAGTCCTCCGGGGAGACCGCCAACTCTGGCACCACCCCGCCCCGGCTGTGTCTCCCCGTGGCTTGGTACACAGCTCGGGCTTTGGTAACTTAAAAATAAAGCTATTGATGTGCTTGAGTTACTGAGATAGGATGGTGTAGAAGTCCTTGTGTTTATAGGTTCGTGGAAGTGGTTGCTGCACAGGCGTACAAATGGAGACGTTGTGCTGCGAGACTGAAGGCCACATTACTCGAGCCATGAACTGTGTGGAGGAATGGGAAGAGGCACAGTATAGAGGTAACATAGAACACAACAAACAGTTAAGGGGAAAAATGACGGTTAACAAAGAACAAATGAACCACCGTTTAAGAGGCCATCACCACCCATGCCTGGCCCACCACCACAGACGTCCATCGGGCGTCAACGACGGTGGTCAAGGCGTCAGCACTGGCTGGCAGTGAAGGAACAGTACAAGGAGGTCGCAGGTGTCAAACACACTTGCGTCCAGGTGTCGGGGCGGCGTTATGGCACAGTGCGGAGGTCGAGGTGGTGGTGTGGCTCAGTTACCCCCAGCCACCTTGACGAACTCTGGGTTGTCGAAACCCTGCACAAAGGTGGTGACGCCGCCCTTAGCATTAAAGGTTCGCACTCGCGTGTAGAGAAAGCATGCAACAAGACAAGCGATAGTCAACACAAGCAATAGCATGACAAGGCCTGCGGCGAAACCAGTTGCAGACATGCATATGTTGGATGCATCTTCTAGTAGCTCTGAAACGACTACGGTTTCATTTGCCGCATTCAAATTAAATGCAACATCACCAGGAGCCACGACCTGAATGACTCGAGCAGTGGCCACGTCTGTCATTTCTTGAGCAGCGCGACGGTACACGTGAAGCACTGTGGAGCGACGCACTCGACTCTCTTCCTCTTCTGCGTCTGCGTCTTCTGAATCTTCGTGAGCTAGAGAACGGGGTCGACCAGCCTTATCAAGAGCTCCTTGGCGGTTGACTTGAGGATAAGTGTCTTTGTCACCTCCAGGGAAGCTTACACTCGAAGATTTAAGTGGAACGCTAACAGGGACGGGGATAGGGTTCGGCCCACCTTCTCTATCCAACGAAATGCTTTCACCAGACTTGGGTTGAGCAGACTGACCCTGGTCAGAAGACACGCCGACTTTGTTAGTGTGACGCGGATCTGGGAGACCGGCGTAAGTGTTGACTTTGTTGCTTTCTGCACCTTGGTATCCCAGACTAGTGCCATCACACTGTGGCTCGGGACAGTTGTAACGACACACCTGGATCACACACTGGAAGTGTACGTTCATGCTGTCTGGGAACTTGAAGGCTTGGAAGTATGCATATGACACCACTGAGGCTGATGAACCAAAGTTCTTGACCTTCTGGAAACGTCCCATTATCTTAGGGCGAGTAACGCAGCCACGCTCGTCCACCAACTGGATGGGGGCCCTCTTTCCGTCATGAGCCACGCAGTTACGCACCATCATATCGAACTTGTTCTCGTCGTCTTTGATGGCCAGAACCATCGTCATAGTCTGGCCGATCTTGACGATGCCGGAGACCTCCGAGGCCCAGGGACCCTTGCCAACCTGAATTTGCATCCAGCATTGCAAATTGTCACCCAGGAAGTTGGCAGTGACAGCATTCAGCATGTCAACCTGTTGAAGGAGACAATAATCAATACTCTTCAGACTCTATCAATACTTTATCGTATCAGTAACGATAGGAAAGATAACTATTTAAATCTAAAGATAGTTAATAGCAAAAGGAAAATTGCATAAAATCCAGTGATTATATGAAACTATAACATTGACTTAATGTAGGCTGAATTAAACTCAAAAAGTTTTTAAACTATAACGTTTCTTATATGAAAATTTGAAACATAGATGTATTGCTTCTATTGAAAGTACAAGAGTAGTAAATACACTGCAGAGGATTGAATCAAGGTAATAAACTGATAAATGTCAAATGTCTTGTCAGTGTTGTCACTCTGCCCACCACAAGTTAAATGGTTCATTCACATTTTAGAGATGTGTGACCACGTCCCGGAGATGTGCACATTTATGTGGTATATTCCAGTCTGTTATCTAGTAGAAGAGACAGTGTCCGTCACGTTGCCGTGCTAAACACATACCTGGAAGGGCCTGAAGGTGACGGACTTCTCGTAGTAGTCATACCAGGTGCACCTGAGCTTCCTGGCAGCGTCCCATACCTGAAACAATCAAACCTGTTTGTCAGAATATTTCTCACCTTAAACTTCTTTCCTACCACTAGGAACCATTAATTATGTTCTTCATTATTTTTGTTTTCTTCCATTTAGTTTAATTAAACAATCTGATATTCAAAGGAAGCATTCAGCTACTCTGCAGCCACAAGACTTCCTCAGTGCACCCACCTCCTGCACCAGGGGGTCGAACTGAATGATGACGATGTTTTCAATGTAGGTGCCTGAAGGCGTCGGCTGGCCGTAGTTGGCGTTGCTAGCGGTGGAGGTCATGCCACAGCTGTTGAGGTAGATGTCGAACTGGGCCTGCAGGCGTCCCGACCCAGGCTGCACATGCACACAGTTCTGGTCACTGCTCACACCACAAATAAAAAAGGGTATAATTGTTAATAAATTGAAAATAAAGGTTTGTGACTGGTTATCTAAGAAGGCATTGGCCTGTCATCAGTCGGGGCAGATCCAATCTCTCTTACACAATAATACATCAACTTTGTAATACTCAATGAAATGAGTCTGATAATTTGCATTGACAAGCGTGCACAATTATAAATAATCACAATGAGAGAGAGAGAAGGGGACCCACCTGTAATAACCCTTGCTGAAGATCATACCGTAGAAGGGACGATCGAATTCTATGGAGACTCGCATGAAAGACTTTTCACATTGTACCTGTGGAAGCAAGACAAATTCAATTGACTGTTTTCAGGAACTTATTTCCTATTACATTATAATACCAATCACACTGATGTACTCAAGCGGATAACTGATTTGTGTGATTACTCTTGCACCCCCATATTAAATAGAGCTTTCTGAGGTGCAGATTAGAACTGTGTATTATGTGAAAACTTCGAAACTGTATTGCATGGTATGGCTTAGAGAAGCATGGTCAGAAGACTGGGGGGTCAGGAGGCTGGGGGTTAGGACACTGGGGGCTTGGGGTTACGAGGTTTGGGGTCATGAAGGGTTGGGGAAGGAGGTTTGGGATCAATAGGGAAGGGTTTGGAGGTCAAGAGGTAGGAGGCTGGTGATTAGGAGGTTATGGGTAGAAGGTTGTGACCAGGAGATTGGAGGGTCGGGAGGCTGGGGTGGGGGTCACAAGGACTTGGGATTGATGTGGTCACGTGGATGTTGTTATTTAGAAGGTTAGGATTCAGGTGGCTTGTGGTCAGGTGGATGTGGGACCAAGTGGCTGGGGTCAGGTGGATGTGGGACTAAGTGGCTGGGGTCAGGTGGATGTGGGACTAAGTGGCTGGGGTCAGGTGGATGTGGGACTAAGTGGCTGGGGTTAGGTGCATGTGGGACTAAGTGGCTGGGGTCAGGTGGATGTGGGACTAAGTGGCTGGGGTCAGGTGGATCTGGGACTAAGTGACTGGAGCCAGGTGGATGTGGGACTAAGTGGCTGGGGTCAGGTGGATGTGGGACTAAGTGGCTGGGGTCAGGTGGATGTGGGACTAAGTGGCTGGGGTTAGGTGCATGTGGGACTAAGTGGCTTGGGGTCAGGTGAATATGTGACTTAAGTGGCTTGGGGTAAGGTGGATGTGGCACTAAGTGGCTTGGGGTCAGGTGGATGTGGCACTAAGTGGCTTGGGGTCAGGTGGATGTGGGACTAAGTGGCTTGGGGTCAGGTGGATGTGGGACTAAGTGGCTAGAGGGCCATATGCTTGTTGTGGCGGATGCCAGACTCATGAAACATGCACCAAAAAGTGTAGGAAGCGCAGTTCAGATTAAAGGGTTCCTGCAGCAGGAAGTGTGGCAACGCACCTGCAGGTTTTTAACAGTGTTCATATCAGGATGAGCAAGGGGCCATTGATCTTCTGGGCCCGCTGGAAGGGGTCCTGAGCTTCCAAGTTGGGGCCCTAGTCCTCCTAGTTGTGGGCCGAGTCCTCCTAGTTGTGGGCCGAGTCCTCCTAGTTGTGGGCCGAGTCCTAGTTGTGGCCCTAGACCTCCAAAGTGGGGCCCCGGAACTCCTAACGGGGGTCCGTAGACATCTCCTCCTCTGTGCTCCACGGGTAAGGAGGCAGAGTCCAAGGCGTTCTGGTCCTCATGCGTCTGGCCCTGTGGAAAATAGATTCGTTTTAAACTGAATGTTTAACAAGACGGACTTGGAAAGACATGGAAATACTCAACTACCATAATAAACAAGAGCATTTTATTTGTTGTGTAAAATAACTGCAGTGATGAGCAACTCCCAAATGAGGAACTTTAAAATGTGTTCTAGAATCTGAATTGTGAGTTATGGTCTTCCTATTAGGCGCGATCACTGTGCTGTTGCCCTCTGATTGTGGTGATTACAGGAGCACAGTAATGTGCTAATGACTTCAATAATACAATAACAAGCATAAGGAATGTAAACCTTCCGATAAACAAAAAAGCAATGACGCTGTGGCAACTCGACCAAGAAACGAGAAGAGTTGCCAGTTCGAGGGAGAGTTGTTTGTGGGGCTGACTGAGGTGATGGGGGCAGTGGGTCAAGCTCCCGGCCCCCCCCTCCCCCACCTCCTCCCCTCACCTCTGTCTCCTCGATCTGATCATAAACCCCACATTTCGCCACCCATTACGGGCACACCATAGCCCGTGCTACATTGAAATTTTAGTCCAGAGTAGCTAAATCTAAGACAACTACAAGAGCCACACCCATCACACATTCCCTCTTCCCTAACCCTTTCTCGTATACCTCGCCGAACTGCTTGCCGTGCACTTTTGGGGCCACTTATGGCACCCGAAATTGGCAAGACGCAGGCCCAGAGACACTTCAAAGATGTTACACGACCAAGGACAATATTCACTTCAAACATTTACCACCTACGGGCTACTCATGCCCGTGCCACCTCTTGTGTTGTGGCTTAATCTCCATTAATCAATCAATCAATCGCAGTTGATTGAATGACACAGGGCCAATTAAGAATTAAGACCTTCTATCCCTCCACCAAGCACAGGGTTGTGGAGGACTGGGCAGCTGTGGCTGGCTGTCGCAGCACAGTGCGGGAGGGAGTCTGTGGTCAACAGTCGTCAGTCCAGGTAAAAACAATTATGGGCTGCTAGATCACTAGGCTTTCTCTCCCCTGCACGACGTCACTGTCAAGCACTAGGATATTATGACCTTATCACGCTCTATTTGAACACACAAACCATCATTATTCAATATTTATATCATGATGCAAGACCCCTCTTGAAAGATTTAAACAAATCTATGGAACTTATGACCGTCAAAATTAAGCAATGAGAATTTTGTTCTTTTCTTCCAAAGGCTTCTCAAGGTATCAACTTTAATTTGGTAGTCAAAGAGTGGTTGGAGAGTATAGGTGCCCTAGTAGAAGGGTGGATTACTGTATCGATGTCCCAGTGGCAGGGTGGGTTATTGTATCAGTGCCCCAGTGGCAGGGTGGATTATTGTATCAGTGCCCCAGTGGCAGGGTGGATTATTGTATCAGTGCCCCAGTGGCAGGGTGGATTATTGTATCAGTGCCCCAGTGGCAGGGCGACACAGCTGACGCGTTAACGAGTACGACAGACAGATAAGAGCTCTCTGTTCCCACTAAATAACCATATTTTTGGTATAACGACCTCAGCTGATCATGAGCAGGTATTTAAACATCTACTTATCACAAGAATGTTTTACTGTGTGTGTTGATTTACATATCATTATTCCATAACTAATATTTTCTAGTCATACTACTATTATAACATGTAGCTAAAAACAATGCAGATTCAGGCTACATCCGGCACAGATGTAGGACACAGCCCCTCTACAAATGATACCTGATCAACCAGGCTGTGATCCATATGCCAGACTGCGAGCAGCTGGTGTTTAACACCTGGTTGACCAGACCACAAACCAGGAGGCCACGGGGACGTTGATTCACGGAATTAATGGAAGGTAAAGGCAAGGTAAAGATACAAGGTAAACAAACACGACCTTACACACCCAGATCCACGCAAATGGAAGAAAGTCTGGGGCTCGTGCGACTGTGAATTACTGGGCGAGTCAAAGTAAATACACTTAGCCTAGTGTTGAGCTTGTGCGTGGCAGCGCGTGGCTTGCATGCTTGCATGTGTGTTTACCAGTGTGCTTGTACACGCTCTCTCTCTCTCTCTCTCTCTCTCTCTCTCTCTCTCTCTCTCTCTCTCTCTCTCTCTCTCTCTCTCTCTCTCTCTCTCTGTCTCTCGAATCACGAGCTCTATCTCTCTCTCTCTCTCTCTCTCTCTCTCGCGAATCTCTCTCTCGCGCTCTCTCTCTCGCTCTCTCTCGCTCTCTCTCTCTCTCTCTCTCTCTCTCTCTCTCTCTCTCTCTCTCTCTCTCTCTCTCTCTCTCTCGCTCTCTCTCTCTCTCTCTCTCTCTCTCGCTCTCTCTCTCGCTCTCTCTCTCTCTCTCTCTCTCTCTCTCTCTCTCTCTCTCTCTCTCTCTCTCTCTCTCTCTCTCTCTCTCTCTCTCTCTCTCTCTCTCTCTCTCTCTCTCTCTCTCTCTCTCTCTCTCTCTCTCTCTCTCTCTCTCTCTCTCTCTCTCTCTCTCTCTCTCTCTCTCTCGCTCTCTCTCTCTCGCTCTCTCTCTCTCTCTCTCTCTCTCTCTCTCGCTCTCTCTCTCTCTCTCTCTCTCTCTCTCTCTCTCTCTCTCTCTCTCTCTCTCTCTCTCTCTCTCGCTCTCTCTCGCGCTCTCTCTCTCGCTCGCTCTCGCTCTCTCGTAAGAAAGGTGTTTCATATGCCAAAACTGACTGTTAGACAATGGACAAGAATGGTGGAAAAAAAGACATGAAGAGTGAAGCTGGTAGAAATTTTAGAATTAAATTTTCTACTGAGATATGAAAAGTCTTTTAGTTAGAAAAAAACAAAAATAAAAATAAAAGAAGTGGGGGAAGATGAGCCAGCAATCTCTGGACCTCACAGAGAGAGAGTATAAACATATAGTGTACATGGAGGCCAGTGACTCTACATTTTAATCTTTGAATGTGTAGTGACAGTGAAGTTTGCAGAAAGAAAGACAAATGTAGAGGACAATATATCGAAAAGGAAAGTATCAGAAGGTCAGAGAACTAGCAAGAATATCACGGTAAAGTGATAAAGTTAGAATTATCAAAAGAAAGCAACAAGCCGGAGAGACTACGTGGCAACATTGTTATCTTAAAAGATAATCAGTGCATGACATGATAGCATACATGATGAATAAACTCAAATAAGATGGAAGACGATTCAGACTGCCGTTCAGAGACAAAAGATCCACGAGTGGTATTAACCTATGTTTTCAAGAGCAGTGCCTGGAGGCACTCTCTAGTGCCACTCTGAAGAAGCGCGGCAGATATACAGAGAGTACAAAGGAAGGAATCACAATGGACATTTCAAATAATGTGGGACGAAAACATAGAACTTGGAGGAGCACTGGAGAAGCAGTGTGAGAATGACGTAACCACCAAAACCAAGGATCAGCCTAAATACTTCAAAAGGATGATGACTAAATAACCCAACTTGTCAAGATGACATACGGGTGGTATGGGACATTCATAGGCCGGGTGGGGTTGGCACCAGTGCCTCTCCTCTAAGAAGGATGAACGCCTATGCCGATTTCCAGCAACTCTTTTGAAGTTTGAAATGGATTTTTTGTTTTTCTTGGAGGTTTTCAATAGTTCTTTCAGTTGTTGATAATATACCTACACAAAATGTAACTACAACTTTGTAATTACTTTGTTACAACAATGCATCAAAATAATAATTGTAAAAATAACGTTGTGGTTTTGCTGTGTGCTTGTTGGAATTATTTGTTCTGAGAGATGAGAGGACGGAGATGGGTGATGTTGAGGGAGAAGAAAGGAGAGAAGGGGAGAAATGCAGAGAGGGGGTAGAAGGAAGAGAGTGAGAGATGTAGGGAAGGAGAGAGAGAGAGAAACCCGGGCACCAATGGGTACCACATCAAGTAAGATTATATGTGAAATTGACAAAGTAAAGAAAGAAGCAATGTTCAACGTGAGACAAAAAAAAACAGAATGAGGGAGCAGAGATGTGAACGTCAGATGTCATAGAAATAACAAAAATGAGAATGTTAAGTGTAAGTGTAGTGAGGAAGTGAAGCACATGTGGGTTAGCAGACACAACGGGCTCTAGGTGCCGGAGAGAGTAATAATTCCGGTAATAATTACACTCCGATTGTTTGGCGACTATTTGTAATTAACTGAGAGACAATTAGACCGAGGGTTCGCAAAACGGAACCCGTGTGACCCGCTCAGGCCGGGGAATGTGGCGGTCACTCCTCACCAGGAGGACGGGGGCTAGGGAGTGACTCCTCGCCAGGAGGACGGGGGCTAGGGAGTGACTCCTCGCCAGGAGGACGGGGGCTAGGGAGTGACTCCTCGCCAGGAGGACGGGGGCTAGGGAGTGGCAGCTTTACTAACTGCCGGTTGCTTGGTGCTTGGGTCGACCCGGCATCATTTCACAAAGAAAAACCCAAGAAAAATTATGAGAAATAACAAAAATATATGGGAGCCTATACGGTATCCAAATGTCAAAACACACACTCACTCACTCTCTCTCTCTCTCTCTCTCTCTCTCTCTCTGTGGTGGTATGGGTATTCACCCTAGATCTGGGCTTCCCATACCTGGGTAAATTACCCAAAATTGGGTAAAAGTGGCTTTTCTTTGGTTAACGACACACCTCGAAATACATATTACAATTTATCGTGAAAGTGTAGAAGTAATATTGTGAAGAAAGTGACCGGTCAATGTGCCTGGGCACTGAGCGTACACTGTACACTCTGTGTAGTGTATTGCCAGGTGTGGTGGTGTCAGGTGTGGCTGTGTCAGGTGTGGCGGTGTCAGGTGTGTACCGTGCTGGCCGAATGTCGTTTACATTTTTGTGAAAACTGGTTCGTATATATGCCTACCCCTCATTGTGCTGTTTTCACACCACTGTCCCTCCACCAATCAAGCTCAGGTCAAGCAGTTAGTGCAAAATGTTATTTGAAGAAGAGAAGGACCATTTCGGGTCTTTGTGGTTAATGCTTCACGATGAACAGACTGTGGCAGCTATGGAGGCCGGGATTCCATTACCGCTGTCTCCAAGCACCTACATG